GCCAGCACTCTCCAGCAAAGCTGTGATGATGGAAATGTTGCATACCTGCACCGTCCAACACAGTAGCCACTAGCCACATGTGGCTAACAAGCACTTGGACCATGGCTAGTGTGACCAAAGAGCTAAATTTCCACCATAATGGACAGCACAGCTCTAGTGTTTTTCCTTCCCCAAGGCTCAGCCCTGCAACCTCTGTCATGCGTTGATGCACTGAAGTTTGCAGTCAGCCATGGCACCTAGGGACGCTTTCCTATATCCCACACCAGGTCCCCTCAAACACACCACTTATTCTCCAGTGAATGTGCTTCTTTCTACAGAAGGGGGAGGAAAACAAAATTGAAAGAGTTGAAGCAGAAAGACTATTGATTTTTAATCCTTTTTTATCATCCAAGAATTTCAAGGTGTATTCCTCATGTCATTCCATTCCTCTCCTGGGAGCTGGGAGAAACTGACCCAGAAGGCTTGGATAGCATCTAGTTATGAATTAAACACACTTTGAAGAAAACCTTTCTAGTCAACATCATTTTTTCTCAGTGAAATGTTCAGATCTTTAATAACTATCATTTTCCTTTGGGTTTTTGCCAGAAGATGATTTTTTAAATAGATTAAACCATTAATCTATTAACTAGCAATTTAATTTTTAGGTCTTCATTCTTCTAAATTGTTTTCTTATCACTTAATAGAACCATGGCACATCTGAGCTGGAAGAGAGCTTAGGCAATTTCCAGTCCATAAAATTGATGGGGATGAAACACTTACTGCTTATTTAAACATGTGTCAACCACTGGAGCATGTTCTTTGTAATCATAATTGTAGTTATTACCATGATCCTGTGGCATAGATAAAATTCTCCCCATCATACAGATGGATAAGTAGCTGAGCTAGAATTTAAACCAAGGTCTATCTGGCTGTGAAGCTAAGAAGACTCTTCTGTTCTCTAGGCTTACTATTTTATAAACAACAAGGAAATAAGAGACCCACAGAGCTATAATCACTACAGCAGCCAGGCTTGACTTCATATTCCTGCCTCATATTTCTTTCTTTTTTTTTTTTTTGAGACAGAATTTCACTCTTGTTGCACAAGCTGGAGTGCAATAGCGCAATCTCAGCTCACTGCAACCTCTACCTCCTGGTTCAAGCGATTCTCCTGCCTCAGCCTCCCAAGTAGCTGGGATTACAGGTGGGTCCACCACTCCAGACTAATGTTTTGTATTTTTAGTAGAAATGAGGCTTCACCATGTTAGCCAGCATGTTCTCTAACTTCTGACCTCAGGTGATTCACTGCCTCAGCCTCTCAAAGTGCTGGGGTTATAGGCGTGAGCAACCTCTGCCACACACTGATGCACTAGCCCGGCCTTGGCTCCATTAAATTTTATCCTTTGACCCCAGATTTATAGCCCCACATTTTGGCTTACAAATAGCCTCCCTTTTCTCTTTAGCAGCACCTTACTCACCAGGAAAAAAAAAAATAATCATAAAGACTGCACTTCTCATTCAAGCCCCTGCATGATTTGGTACTGACCTTTCCTGAAATACTCCTCCTCCCAAGGGAGCTGTCTCAGCAAACCCAATGTTTGTATTCTGTGTTTTTAGAATTTACCTTTTTGGGGGTTATGATTATAAAATATACACAAATAAATTATGTTCCTGTATACCAACAAAGGTGTTTTGGCATTAAACACAAAGATGTTTATTGCACCAACATAGCTTACAGTGAAAATTAAAACCAATCTACATGGCCAATCATGACAGATGTGGTAAGAATAAAGGACTTCTATTCTTTAAATTAGCATTATAGAAAGCCACTAAAATGGGGTAAGAACCCATGACATGGGAGCATTTGACTCCCCACAATAGGAATACCTAAAGGAAAATAGAGTCTATTTTTCTAAGGACTCCTGGGCAAAATAATAATAATGTAGACTAATCAAGTTTCACATTTATTTATAAAGTTTCCAGTTTTTGACAGCCCTTTCTTGAAGCAGCCCCTGATAGCAGCTGACAGAGTGAAAAATATAATGGGTGTGGAATCAGAAACCATTAATTCAAAGTGGGCCCTGGGACTTCATTGTGCCCACCTATGAAGTGGGGAGGCTTCTGTTCACTGTGAGGAGCTACACAACTGGTAGCTGGTAGCGTCCCCCCTACTGGGTCTCTCCTGATGATCTTTTGGTGAGGGAGCAGCAGCATTAGGGGCTTTCTTGCAAGCATAGAGTGAGGGCAGCTTCACTCTTGTCTGGCAGAAAAGGGGGCGAATCATTGCCCTGTTTGAGCTTGCAGGCCCACCAGCTTCTTCCTTAACTTGAATCAAACTGATTAGCAGGCCATGTGTGGTGCCTCACACCTGTAAGCCCAGCACTTTGGGAGGCCAAGGCATGAGGATCAGTTGAGGCCAGGAACTCAAGACCAGCCTGGGCAACATAGTGAAACCCTGTCTCTATAAAAACAAAAATTAAAAAAAAAAAACAAAAAACAAAAACCTACCCAAGTGTGGTGGCACACACCTGCAGTCCCAGCTACTCAGGAGCTGAGGTAGAAGAACTGCTTGAGCTCAGGAGGTTGAGGCTGCAATGAACCATGATTGCGCCACTGCACTCCAGCCTGCGCAACAGAACAAGATTCTGCCAAAAAAAAAAAATAAATAAATATTAGAAATATACCTATGTATTGATTTGCAGCAATCTGTCCACATGGTGGCAGGAGTGAAGAGGCAGGAACCTGCCATGGGCTCCCCCTGGAGTTCTGCCATATTTGTGGCTTCTGCTGAACCAAAATATTAGAATTAGGCCTAAGAGCAATGATGGTAACAGCCACGTGCACCTCTGGGGTTTCTCATGCTTTAGCAACCATTTAAAGGACCATTTTCATCTCTGGTAAATGAACAAGACAATTACTATTTCCACAGGAGGCTGCTACCACCAAATGCTCTTACAATTATTTAATTCAACTGGACATGCTGGTGGAAACCACCATGGAAAGACTTCAGCTCTGTGTTGAAACACTAAACCTGGGAATTTGTCCTCCAGGGCCATATAGAAACTGGATCAGTATCTGAGCATCTGAGTTTTCTTTTTAAGCCTTTCACTTAGAATCATGTACAATGTCTAAGAACTGTGGCTTTCAAAATTTTTAAGCAGCAGAATGTTTTTCTCTCAAATGAAATCTCGTCTGGAACTTGATGTACATATCAAGTAAATAAATGGTAACTACTTTTTATGCATTTAAAAAATAATTTCTAATGAATAGAAATTTTTACAAGGTCAATCAGTGACAATAATGAGGTTGTTTTAACAGAAAAGATTAAGTCAGGAATTGTGGATGAGTTGCATTTTTTGGTATACACTTCAGCATCTGACTTCTGTGTTTTGTTTTGCTTGAATTATATTAATAATGGACAATAATATTTCAGCACTGCTCTGAGTGTTTCAGACATGTTAATTCATTTAACTCTTAACTCTCTGAGATACTATTATTCCCAGGTGAGAAAATTGAGGCCCAAAGAGCAAGACATGGCCTAAAGTCACACAGCAAGCCAGAACTGGGCTTCAAATCTACTCAGCCTTGTCCCATACTCTATGAACTAAATAATGATTTTCTTTCACTGCTTCAATTAAAAGCCTGCCACATATATATATATATATATATGGTTGTAATTAATAACTTTTTAATTGCCTGCCTTGCAAGCTCAGACTATTCTTTAATTAAACTTGGAAAGGAGAAGACGTTTCATTCCAAGCTCTAAACAAAAAATAAATTTAAAAAACAACCTAACATCAAAAGGACCCCCATTAGGGCTCAGGAAACAATTTGAAAATTCCTGACCTAGAGCAGGAGGGCCATCTTGAAGGGCCAATCAGCCTGTCAAAACCCACATGTGAAGGATCCTCAGGGGGTAGTAGAGACAAAAAAACAGTGGCTGGCATTTTACCAAATGGAAATCTCTAGTCTCTGGCACTACCAATATTCCCCATTACAAATCTTCCAGCTGGTAAACAGAATGATGCCACTGACATTTAATTGAAATGTCAGCACATTTAGAAAGAGCCCTGATGAAACTGCCAAGTTAAAGTTATTGCTGATGACTTAAGCTAAATAGAAACAGAAAATCACCATGAACACCCCCCACCTCCCACCCCCGCACTATAATATCAGACGGAGAGAAAGCAGAGAGCTTAGCTGTCCAAGAAAAATTTACAGATAGTTTTTAAATGGAGTTTTATTCTAGCTATGAAAAACTACGGGGTAATTGGAAAACACTTGTGAAGGTAATCAGGTCTGAGACAGGCCAATGCCCATGTAAATCAATTCAACAAGCATACATTGATTAAATTGCCTTTGGATAGTAATATTGCCTTACATTTATTTGCATAGTTTACAGTTTATAGAGGCTACTGTAGATGGCAGAAATGGCCCAGTTCTTCACCACTCTCTAATCCTCACCTTATGCCACTGTAACTTTGTCACACCATCTCACTCTGTTGCTGGGCTTAACCATGTGATTTGTTTTAGCCAATGGGATGTTAGGAGATGTACCATCGGAGAGGCTAAAAAAGCACTTACGTGTTTCCATTCATCCTTGCCCTATATATTGCCATTAGAAAACATGCCCGTGGAATAGAACCAAGGCATCCCATTGTTCCAGCCTAAGGACATCCTAGGTCAGCAATAGCTAGCTAGCTAGCTCACTTCCAAGCATACACGCAAGCCCAGCCCATATCAGCAGACACATTTAGTTGACCTGCAGCTGAGCATAATCACATATGCAAGTAGAGTTAGGAACAGCCAAGCCCAGATCAGCTGAAGCCCAGTCTCATGAGCTAATTCAATGAGTCCTCTTGTATGCCACTGTGGTTTTGAGGGTTTTCTTCAGCATCATGAATGTGATAACAGATGTCTGGTGAAGAGACTTGCCTTGAATGGCCTCCTTTGTCCGCTCCTTGGGGAAGGTGGGACAAGGCTTACTTCTCCCATCTTATAGATGAGAACACTGTGATTCACACAGGTTAAGTGGATAGCCTTGATTCCCACAGCTGCTGCTTCTCACGCCCGTTCTCTGCTCATGTGTAAGTCATGAAGCTCCTCTGAAAGACTTAGGCAACAGCATTAACCTAGCAGCTGAATCCTCTTTTTTTTTCTTTTAGATCGAAACGTTAGGTTTTATCATTTGAAAGCACAGAGGGAGAGCACAAGTCTCAGAAGTCTCTGAGCCCAAAAGGCAGGAACTTCACAGCATTTGGCTCTGCAAACTCCCTCCTGTGCCTGCTCACCCTGGGATACCTCCCTCCTGGCCTGGTTCCACTCTGCTTTGAAGAGATAGCTGATCCAGGCCATGTCAGACATGGGTTTCTCTCACCGTCTCTGGCTGATTCCACTCGCCGGCGTTCTTCAAATGCTGCTAGGTAGGAAAACCATGGGGAAGTTATGATGAAATGATCAAAGATACATTTTTTGTTCTTGCAGCAGCTCACTTTAAAAACCTACTTACCTTTTAATTTCCCTTACTGAAGCCCAGACTCACATAAGGTCCTTTATAATCTGTATTGACCTACATTTCAGCGTCACCACTGCCGCCTGCCCCTGTAACATTCTCTGTTTCAGAATCAGAAATGTTTATCTCTTCCAGGGACATTTTGGATTTTTGTTCCTACTCATACTCCTGATTCTGTTTAGAATTCTCTTCTCTTCCTTTTCCTCACCTGGTGAACCCCTATTCTTTCTTGTATGATTACACTTCTCTAAAACGCTTTAAAGATCCACTTGCTTTGTGTGTTTGTTCATGCATTGCTGTGTCAGTACGAGCTGGTAAAGAGTCATGTGGCTGGCCTGGCTGCCGGGACCTGGAGCAGCATGGTTCACAGAGCATCGCTGGAAATCTGTGGGGAAAGATTAGACTTTTTTCTCCTCTTGGGTTGTGCCCATGTTAAGTGTGAAATATGATGGGTCCCAAAGAAATGTGCTTTAAAAGTTCAGAGGGAGGCCAGGTGTAGTGGCTTACATCTGCAATCCCAACACTTTGGGAGGCCAAGGCAGGCAGATCACTTCAGGTAGGAGTTTAAGACCAGCTGGCCAGCATCAGGAAACCTATCTCCACTAAAAATACAAAAATTAGTTGAGTGTGGTGGTGTGGGCCTGTAATCCCAGCTACCCGGGAGGCTGAGGCATGAGAATTACTTGAACCTGGGAGATGGAGTTTGCAGTAAGCCGAGATAGCGCCACTGCACTCCAGTCTAAAAAAAAAAAAAAAAAAAAAAAAGCAAGTTCAGAGGGTTCAGAGGGAGAGATAGGGTCACTTCGTTTTAGAAACAGGTAGGTCTGACCAGACCTATTTACTTTAAGTGAGTCTTTTTCTTTCAATGTTGGTTTTTCTTTTCTTTTTTAAAATTTTTTATTGGTACATAATAGGTGTATATATCTATAAAGTACATGAGCTAGTTTGATACAGGCATGCAATGTGTGAGAATCACATTAGGATAAATGGGGTATCCATCACCTCAAGCATTTTTCATGTCATTGTGTTCTAAACATTCATACTCTTTTAGTTATTTTTAAACATACAATAAATTATTGTTGCCTATAATCACCCTGTTGTACTATCAAATATTAGATCTTATTCATTCTATCTAAATAACCATATTTTTATACCCATTAACCATCTCCATTCACCTGCAGCTACCCTTCCCAGCCTCTGATAACCGTCAATCTACTCTCTATCTCCTTGAGTTCATTTGTTTTAATTTTTAGCTCCCACAAATAAGTGAAAACATGTGAAGTTTGTCTTTCTGTATCTGGCTTATTTCATATGACATAATGTCCTCCAGTTGCATACATGTTGTTGCAAATGACAGACTATCATTCTTTTTTATGGCTGAATAGTACTCCATTGTGCATACGGACATTTTCTTTGTCTATTCATCTGTTGATGTGGAAACTTGGGTTGCTTCCAAATCCTGACATTGTGAATAGTGCCGTGATAAATATGGGAGTGCAGATATCTCTTCAATATAGTGATTTTCTTTCTTTGGGGTATATACCTAGCAGTGGGATTGCTGAATCAATGGTAGTTCTATTTTTGGTTTTTTGAGGAACCTCTGTACTGTTCTCCATAGCAGCTGTACTAATTTACATTCTGAGCAACAGAGTATGAGGGTCTCCTTTTCTCCATATCCTTGCCAGATTCATTGCCTGCCATTTGGATAAAAGCCATTTCAACTGGAGTGAGATGATATCTCATTGTAGTTTTGGTTTGCATTTTTCTGATGATCAATGATGTTGGGCACCTTTTTATATGTCTGTTTGCCATTTGTATGTCTTCTTTTAAGAAATGTCACCAGGCACAGTGACTCACACCTGTAATCCCAGCACTTTGGGAGGCTGCGGTGGGAAGATCACCTGAAGTCCAGCCTGGCCAAGTCCAGTCCAGTTCAAGACCAGCCTGGCCAACATGGTAAAACCCCAGCTCTACTAAAAATAAAAAAAATTAGCTGGGCATGGTGGCAGGTGCGTGTAATCCCAGCTACTCAGGAGGCTAAAGCAGAATAATCACTTAAATGCCAGAGGTGGAGGAAGTGAGCCAAGATTGCACCACTGCATTCCAGCCTGAGTGACAGAGTGAGACTCTATTTCAAAAGAAAAAAAAAAAAAAAAAAAGAATGCCTATTCAGATATTTTACCCATTTTTAATCAGATTATTAGATTTTATTTTCTGTTGAATTGAGTTTCAACCAAAATATTTATTTTGATTATTAATCTTTTGTCAGATAGTTTGCAAATATTTTGTCCTGTTCTGTGGGTTGTCTCTTCATTTTGTTGATTTCTTTCTTTGCTGTGCTGAAGTTTTTTTAACTTAATGTGATCTTATTTGTCCATTTTTGCTATGGTTGCCTGTGCTTGTGGGATATTACTCAAGAAATCTTTACACAGACCAATGTCTCAGAGAGCTTCCCCACTGTTTTCTTTTAGTAATTTTATAGTTTGAGATTGCAAATTTAAGTATTTAATCCATTTTGATTTGATTTTTGTATATTATGAGAGATAGAAGTCTAGTTTCATTCTTCTGCATATGGATATCCAGTTTTCCTGGCACCATTTATTGAAAAGACTGTGCTTTTCCCTAGTGTATGTTCTTCGCATCTTTGTCAAAAATGAATTCACTGTAGATGTATGGATTGTTTCTGGGTTCTCTATTATGTTCCATTGGTCTGTGTGTCTGTTTTTATGCTAATACCATGCTGGGTTTTGGTTACAATAGCTCTGTAGTATCATTTGAAGTCAGGTAATGTGATTTTTCCAGTTTTGCTCTTTTTGCTTAGGATGGCTTTGGCAATTCTGGGTCTTCTGTGGTTCCATATATATTTTAGGATTATTTTTCCAACTTTTGTAAAGACTGTCATTAGTATTTTGATAGGGATTGCTTTGAATCTGTAGATTGCTTTGGGTGGTATGAACACTTAAAAATATTAATTCTTCTCATTCATGAACATAGAATATCTTTTCATTTTTTGTGACTTCTTCAATTCTTTGCATTGATGTTTTATAGTTTTCATTGTAGGCACGTTTTATTTCTTTAAGTTTATTCCTAGGTATTTTATTTTGTTTGTAGCTTTTGTAAATGGAATTACTCTCTTGATTTCTTTTCAGATTATTCACTGTTGGCATGTAGAAATGCTACTGGTTTTTATATGTTGATTTTGTATCCTGTAACTTTACCAAATTTGTTTATCAGTTCTAATAATTTGAGTAGTTCTAATAATTTGGTATTTATTCCTCTTTAACTAAGCTTTTGGTGAAATTCAGCAGGGAAGTCATTGAGTCTTGGGCTTTTCTATGCTGGTAGACTTTTTATTGTGGCTTTGATCTATTACCTGTTATTGGTCTATTTAGGTTTTTGAATTTCTTCATGGTTCAATCTTGGTAGGCTGCATGCATTTAGAAATTTATCAATTTCTTCTAGATTTAATGATTTATTGACATATAGTTGCTCCTAGTAGTCTCTAATGATCCTTTGATTTTCTGTGGTATCAGTTGTACAGTTGTATTGTCCTTTTTCATTTTTGAATTTATTTATTTGGATTTTCTGTCTTTATTTTCAGTCTGGCTAAAGGTTTGTCAGCTTTATCTTTTCAAAAAAACAACTTTTCAGTTAGTTGATCTTTTGTACTTTTCATTTAATTTCATTTATTTCTGCTCTGATGATTATTATTTCTTCTACTAATTTTGGGTTTCATTTGCCCTTGCTTTTCTACTTCCTCAAGATGCATGATTAGGTTGTTTATTTGAAGTGTTTCTTCTCTTCTGATACAGGTACTTCTTGCTATAAACTTTCCACTCAGTACTGCTTTTGCTGTATCTCATAGGTTTTTGTATATTGTATTTCCATTTTCATTTAAGAAATTTTTTAATTTCCTTATTAATTTCTTCATAGACCCACTGGTCATCCAGGAGAAAGCCTATTGCTTAATTTCCATATGTTTTTATAGTTTCCAAAGTTCCTCTTGTTATTGATTTCTAGTTTTATTCTATTGTGTTCAGACAAGATATTTGATCTGATTTCAATTTTTAAAAATATTTTGAGATGACTTGTTTTGTGACCTAACAAATGGTCTATCCTTAAGAATGCTTCATGTTTGAGGAGAAGAATGTGTATTCTGCAGCAATTGGAGAAACTGTTCTGCAAATATCTATTAGGTCCATTTTGTGTATAGTGCAGATTAAGCCCAATGTTTCTTCATTGATTTTCTTTCTGGATGATGTGTCCAATGCTGAAAATGGAGTGTTGAATTCCCCAGCTATTATTATATTTTGGGTCTTTCTCTCTCTTTAGCTCTACTAATATTTGCTTTATGTATCTGAGTATGCCAGTGTTGGGTGCATAGACAATTGCAATTGCTATATCCTTTTGCTAAATTGATCCCTTTGTCATTATGTAATGATTTTCTCTGTCTCTTCTAATTTTTGTCTGAAAATCTATGTTGTCTAATATAAATATAGTTATTCCTGCTGTTTTTCAGTTTCTCCTTGCATGGAATGTCTTTTTCCATCCTTTTATTTTCAGTCTGTGTGTGTCTTTATAGGTGAGGTGTGTTTCTTGCAGGCAACAGATCATTGGGTCTTTTCAAATTTTTTTTTTTTTTTTTTTTTTTTTTTTACAAAAAATTCACTTAGCCACTCTGTGTCTCTTGATTGGAGAATTTAGTCCATTTATATTTAATGTTATTATTAGAAAGTAAGCACTTACTACTGCCATTTTCTTTTTTGTTTTCTGATTGTTTTGTGGTCTTCTCTTCCCTCTCTCCTTCTCTCCTTGATGAATCCCTTTCTCCCTCTTTCCCTCCATCTTTTCCTTCCTTTCTTCCTTTCTTTTTTCCTTACTTCCATACTTCCTTCCTTTTAGTGAAGGTGA